ACTGCAGTTTTTTTGTTGTAATCCTCACTTACAAGAATTAAAGAATTTTTTTTAATAAACTACCAGTTTTAATAATAATAAATGTTTAAAGGTTGTAAAGGAGCGATGCCAAAATATTTTTATTTTAATTAATTGTATAAACTTTTGACAACAGATAAAGTTTATAACTTTTTTAACATAAATTGTAACATTTTCCATAAATATTTTTCTACATTTATAGAATGCATAAAACAATAAATAAAAAATCGTTTTTATTTAAGAAAAATTTATTAGTATGGTAATCTCAAAAGTTTAAACAATTAATTAAAATAAAAAATATTTAGGTATCGCTCCTTTACAACCTTTAAACATTTATTAATTAATTTCCAAAAAAAAAAACTGGAAGTTTACTCAAAAAAATTCTTTAATTCTTGTAGGTCAAACATTTTTTAACAAAAAAGTGTGAGTTTACAAAAAAAATTGCATAACAACAAGCTTGTTGTCTAAAAAAATTATGGTAGGTTTACATTTTAAAAAAAATTCTTATTATGTTTATCTCGTAAGTATAAACAATTAATTAATAATCATTTTTTTATTAGCATTTTTATAGCCATTGCACATTATAAATTTATTTGCTAAAGAAATTGATAGTTTCGCCGGAATAAAATCGTTTCCAGACTTTTGAACCACCCTGTATATGTTAAGAGAGCTACTTCAAATTCAATTTAAAACAATGTTTTGAGTTAGGATTCTAAATTATTGATTTATCCTTTAATTTTTGTAGGTCAAACATTTTTTTAACAAAAAAGTGTGAGGTTTACAAAAAAAATTGCACAGCAACAACCTTTAAACAATTATTAATTTATTTCCAAAAAACTGATAGTTTACTCAAAAAAAATTCTTTAATTTTTGTAGGTCAAACATTTTTTTAACAAAAATGTGTGAGGATTCCAAAAAAGTTTTTGCACAGCAACAATTCTTGTACAAGCTCGTTGCCTAAAAAAAATTGTTACTATGTTTATCTCGTAAGTATAAACAATTAATTAATATTCATTTTTTTTTTTTGAATAGCATTTTTATAGCCATTGCACACCTATAAATTATAGTTTCACCAAAATCAAATCGTTTCCATACTTTTGAACCACTCTGTATGTACAAGATATAAATTGACGACTCAAGTTTTGTAACTACAAATGTGGGTCAAATTTTCACACTTTTATTACACTTTCAGGAAATTTCAGATACTGATACAATTCAAACTCTAGGTAAATTCGATTTAATAAAAAAACTGTTAACAAACTTTACATCATTAAAATTTGGTGAAAATAAATAAGCAAATATTTGCAGTTATCAAAGCAGTAACCCCAATGAGCATGCAAATCAGTTATACAAGTCCCAAGTGTACGAAACCCAACAAATTGTTACCACATAACTACCAAACAAGACTTTCATGTAATTTCAGAGTTTGCTCGAGACCTCGTCAAAGCTTTTTACGCAGTCAACATCACATAACATTTTCCCTTTGCTCTCTCATTCACGCAAACAAAGAGAAATGATCTGTCTAATAACCAGAAACACGACACCGGAAAAGGGGCAGGTCTTACCTTGCACGTCTCATTAGATTGAATTGTTTCACTCCTGACAACACAATTCCACAGCAATTAGTCCTCGATGGATTTTATTTATAGCGAATCTTCTACGTAAAAATTGAACTGTTTTAAATTTCAAATAAAACGATATGGGAAACTGCTCCACCTTTCCATATTCTGATATAAAAATTCTCTTTCCTATGCTACGCCTGCATGTTTGTCAAAAAGGAATGAGTTCTTTCCAGCTACAATGTAATTTTTAAAATGCCTGAAAATATTCCAATTTCTTTTCTTAGAACAACAGTTTGATGGATTTCCAATAACATTCCTACTTTCAATGCAAATAACTCTCAATTACACCTGTGTGCACAAAAACAAGATTTCTTAGTTTTAAAAATACTTTATTGCAAAATTCTATTTCTAAAAGTTTGACGTAATTTCGATCTATAGGTTTGGTCATGCAATATGTCATGGCGTGTCAGATTACGAAGCTAGAAAAAACAACTTATCTTACGTAATATAAATTGGTTAAATCTGGACGGTGTTTCCCAGCTAAAACCTGATTAGTATTTTTATCAAAATAAAATCAAATAAAGCAAAAATTTATTTAACTCCGAGTTCAACTCTCATTTTGCACAAAATTCAATGCCTTAAAAAAAAGTTGTTTTCTCTATTTTCAGATAAAATCTACTGTTCAGTGTTATTTTATTAATTTCAAAATTGCAAAAATGGTGGATGCGCCGGGTCATAAATGAATTGAAACTTATTGAAACAAAGAACAAAATTTTTGGTATTGAAAAATTTAATTATTGCAATAATACGCTTCGCATAGGTCAGGTCTACCAATTTTCCCAATCTAAAGCAAAATCTAGAAAATAGAAGTAATTGAATCAGAGTCAATTTCAGCTGAATTCGTTGACAATCTCGTTTCAGCAACTACCCCAAACTTAATTACACAACATGATTCGTCATATTGACCAACTGTATCAAAATCCAAACCAAAAAAATCATAAATAACTGAGAAATTCGGTATAAATTTCATTTCAGTATTGCCAACTTAAATTTTCAACTCGCGAAATTTAATAAAATTACGGCACGAGTTGTCGGCTCAACTCCTACATTCTTTTGTCGCTGCTTTAATAAGATTTTTATTTGTTTTCCCTTCAAATCCCAATTACGACACCACCGCAAATGCGTCCTCAACTTGGAAAAATTCTATTGTGCAATATAAAATAAATTATTTAAACGAATTTAAGATGAAGACGCTTTTACAGCCGATTTCTTATATTTCTTTTAATTCTGCTTGAGACGACAGTCTGTTTGCTTTCCCGCTATACCTGGAATTCATTTTTAACGTCAAGGAATTATTAAGATTTTCAATTTTGCGAGGAAAATGGAAGTTTTATTAAAAGTAAATAACTTGCCGGTGACCAGAAAATCAAATATAGCTGCTCTTGGAAGTTAGCGTGACAATAAGATTCTTTGCTCCTCTTCCATTCGCTCTCATTTTAATGAAAATAACACAAAAAAGAAATTTTACGCAAATTAACCTCTTCAAACGTATTTAAAATCAACATAATAACTTGAAGTTTTCTCTAATTGATATCCTCGTATCAAAAATATGAGAACCGCACAATATTTCACAAGAGGAATAAATTGTTACATCCTTCATATAAAATTAATTTTCTCAGGACCTTCAGGGATTACTTTGTTCAAAGTCATCATAACATTTCGTCTTCAAAAAATAAACTAATTTTATCATGAAATAAATAATAAAATACCAAGCCCAAACAAAAAACTATTTTAAAAAAAATTAAACTGGAACAACAAAAAATTGAAAATCTTATAACTTTGTTAAAACTGGCGGAATTTTGTAAGAAAAATAAGTGCCCGACTTAAGTAATCGTAAATAATTAAATCGATATTACAGAAAAAATGCTCACCCAGAAATTATTAAAAAAAAGTTAAATTTTTGCAATTCTAGAATCAATGAAATTTAATATTAAACAAATGAGAATTTTTACTTCAATTCTCGTAAATCTGATACAAAACCAAAATAAATCACTAACCAAAAAGTTTATTTAAACGTGTATTGTTTGAAAAACTTGCAATTTTCCTTACTTTCATTTTGAAATGAAACAAAATTGCAATTTACAATTTAATTAACATTCATTCTTGCACACTGCAGGGACTAAAAATTAAAATTCAATTTCCGATAGCAAACAAAAAACAGCGGACTTTCAAACTTCAAACAAAAACACTCATTTTTTTGTATTTATTAAAATAAACTTCAAAAAATGCAGAAAAAGTCGAAATTCGACTCTAAAAATTAGTTTCATAACAAATCAATAAAGAAAACTGATTAAATAAGCCTAAAATCAAACTTATTTAAATTTAAAAAAATTATGGACACAAAGTCTTACGCGAGGATTGCCCTTATATTTTTTAAATTCCTTTTAGGTTGTACTTCAATTTTTTATCATTAATTTAAAGATTTTAAGAGGTGATAATAGCCGATTATTGATAGTTTCTAAAATAGAGAAAAAAATTGTAAACAAATGTAATCTCTAAAATTTATGTTCTTCAATATACAAAAACAGACACAAAGAAGTAACCTCAATTTTTTTCGTCCGAATTTCATTACCTCAAATGTCAGTAAATATTAGCAATGTAAACTTTGGAATAAAGTACTCAAAATTTGCCTGTTGCTTCTGAGTAATAATAAAGACGTCAATATCCCACAAGAAACAAACAAAAACGCTGCAGACATTTCCCTGAAATAGCATCAAATCCTCTGAAACTTTTCGACAATCGTTAGAGTTTCCCTTAAACGACACCAAACAATTTCCTCAAGATAAGAACCAGAAGCTTATCTACAACGTCATAAACGAGAACATCACCAACTCCATAGTCCAACATTTTTAATTTCCTTCAAATCTGAATTGTACGAAAAACGAACATTTGTAACATTCTCACTTTAAAAACGTCATAAATATTTATACGGCGAAGAAAAGTTTCCACGAGAAGACTAAGAACTTGAAACCATATTTAAAATTTATCCATTTCGTAAACATGCTAAGCCCAATTTAGAATTTTTTAAACTCTTAAAACTTGTAATAAAGTTCGTGCCATCATCAAGCACAATTCACTTGGGATATGTTAGGTCAAAGTGCCTTAATCATTCTAATTTATTCAAATAACGATGTAATAAGGTGAATTGCACACTGAAACAACCTCCTGAATAAATATTGCTCCTGAAATATGGTTTATTCATAAAGAGTCCGGTTTTAGAAAGCGAGATGCATTTCACTTGTTGACTGCTACAAAAGATAAATCCCAAGTGTTTGAGGAGAAGATTGTCATATCTACGCCTTCAAGTCTTAACAAACACGACAAGTGCTTCAATTTCATTTATTTTATTGTTTCACTCACCGAATATTAAGGCTGGCGTCCAAGAAATGGTTATCTGAAATAGAAATAAATTTGAGTAAATTCAATTTTTTCTTATTTAGTTTCACTACAAAAAAAACCCGATTTACTCGCTAAAAAGCTTGGCACATCCTGGCCGTTGAAGGCAATAATTAAAGAAAAATAAAAAAGGTTTGTTTACGGCTGTGTAAACACAGAAAGTGTTGAATAGACTTATGTTGTAAGGTCTTATCGAAGTCGACTTCCATTACTTTGATGTTTGCATTGTACATTTCACCTTTTCGATCGACTCGATTCTTATTTGATTACGGATTCTATAGACCTTTTTCTCTATTTTTAGAGTATGTACGCAGCTGAAAAAGTCTTTGTAACGATAAAACTCTTCTCAAACTGATGTATTTTCTCGTAAAAATGTTTTGCAAATATGGTGGATGCGCCGGGCAAATACAATGCACCGATTAAATTTAACTGTAAATATTTATTTGTAAACCCAAATCTAATCATTCTATATTTAAACCACTGCAAGATTAAAAAAAACATTTTGAAGCTTTAAGTTTCTAGTTTTGAGATCTTTTGGCAAATATTTTTTTCTGTGCTACGGTTATCACGCAATTCTAAGTAATAGCGCGAGAAAAAAAATCTAAATTTTTGTGTTTTTGTGTTTGGTCCATGGACATAGGGAATTTTTTTTAGTTAAGGCAATTTATAGGCAAATAGCATATTTGTTTAGCTTTAATATGCTTTTTTCATATTCCCTTTACGTTAATTTGTCGCTGAGATATCTGACTCTAAATGAAAATCTTGTCTTTGATCATCGATATCTCAGCAACTAATGACCAATGTGTCAAAAACTAGAATTTTGGAGGAAAACGAAAACCCACAAAAGTTTGATTTTATGCTAAATAACTAACTTTCTACATTTCATTTAACTGCAAAGTCTATCTTTTGCGTTACAAAGATTTATTTTGACGCAACAAGTAATATTTTTTGAGGAACAGTAAAACTTGGAATATCCTGTAATTTTAAGAGATTGGTCTGATTCATAAAAAAAAAATAGTTGTGAAGTACAGCCTTGTTTTTACCTGATTTATTCTAAAACAAAATGTATGATGTTTTCAAAATAAAATAGTTGATTTTTTTGAATAAAATTGCAATTTTTTTGATAAAATTATAACAAATAATTTTGAAGATACGCTTACATTGCTACATTTTGTTTGCAATAAATGTTTAGTTTATTACTAAACTAAAATAATCAAACACTGAAACACATTTTTGCGCGATTTTAATTTATTTCGAATTTTTGTGGCATATACAGTGTCTCAGGTAAGTTTTCTTCGTTTTTTTTGTTAACTTCAAATGAATAAAACATCAATTTTTTTCATATATAACTTCAAAAGACTTCAATTTTCAAGAATAAAAAATGATTTTGTTAAATGGTGTTTTTTTTTCGGAAAAGTTACGATTTTTATGCTTCTGGGTTATTTTAGTTATTCACTTTTGTAATTTTGTTATTTCAATAGACATTTTTCTATTAAATGAGTCGATCGCCAAATTACTTGTTAATTTTTTTATCACCAGTGGTGAAACGTTTGTAAATTTTATAATTTTTGTTGACCTAATGACGGGAAAAATCAATGTTATTTCCTCTAAACACAAAAATGGATTTTTGGAGCTTTTTTTTAATTGTGGATATTATACACTAAAATTAAAATTAAAGGAACAAAAAATTTTTCTAAATTTTGTGGTGATTTTTGAAAGGCTGTAATTCATCGAAAAATGGTCGTATCTAGATTTTAGAAAAACCATTTTGAAGCTTTAAGTTTCTAGTTTTGAGATCTTTTTGAAATTTTTTCTTGCGTTATTATTTAGAATTGTGTGATAACCGTAGCACAGAAAAAATATTTGCCAGAAGATCTCAAAACTAGAAACCTAAAGCTTCAAAATAGTTTTTTTTTTAATCTAGATACGACCATTTTTCGTTAAAATCACCAAAAAATTTGGAAACATTTTTTGTCCCTTTAATTTTTGGAGTAGTGTACCTTGAACAACCGTTTCAATGTAAAATAAAACAAAGAAATAACTCACAATTTTTTACCACTAAAACAAAAGGTATAACATAGAATTATCTCTAAATACTCGAACTCCCCGAAACTCCATTTCTTATATATTCCACTTTTTGTGTTAAAACACATCATTTAAGCACTCTCGGAGAGATATGTGCAACGAAATGCGGCTCTGAACTCTTCACTAAATCATCCTCGAGAATTACTCGACACTAACGAGATTATAAACCACCTCGAGACACATTAATTTTTTGCACTTTTGTTCCGCAAAATCAATAACACTTTTTTTAAATAACTAAACCAGAAAAAGTTTTTTCATTTTTAAGGTAATTCAATTATTATGCTTCCTTTAAACGCCTCAACACGCATTTGAATTCGTACAAAAAGCGTTTTTAAATAATATTCACGCCAAAAGCCATTTTAGGCAACCTGAAAGCCCATCACGTATTATTAACGTGAAATTCGAATTTAGGTTATAGACTAAACCGTGACATCGTCGATAATAATTATTACAATGTTCCAACATCACCACCAACACCGAACACAATTCCACTTTAATCTCTTCTATAAGCTATGCTCTATGCTAAGTCCTTTATAACTTCGACTGACAACAAACCGAGATGTAAACACGTCACAATACACAATTAATTTAATAAAACTGATTTTGCCAAAATATAAACCCAAGATCGAACAAGGTTTAATTTTTCTGCTTCCTTTGTAATAAAATTTCTGTTACATGAATAAGTTTGCAACGATCAAAGGATTTCTACCCATATTGCATGCTTTTAAACATAAATTGTTTAATATTTTGTTTCAAGATCTAGAGCAGGAAATG